CTTAACAAGCCAAGTGCTAGGATGTTAAGTGCTCTTAACACAAGCCAAGTGCTAGGATGTTAAGTGCTTTTAACAAGCCAAGTGCTAGGATGTTAAGTGCTCTTAACAAGCCAAGTGCTAGGATGTTAAGTGCTCTTAACACAAGCCAAGTGCTAGGATGTTAAGTGCTCTTAACACAAGCCAAGTGCTAGGATGTTAAGTACTCTTAACAAGCCAAGTGCTAGGATGTTAAGTGCTCTTAACACAAGCCAAGTGCTAGGATGTTAAGTGCTCTTAACAAGTCAAGTGCTAGGATGTTAAGTGCTCTTAACACAAGCCAAGTGCTAGGATGTTAAGTGCTCTTACACAAGCCAAGTGCTAGGATGTTAAGTGCTCTTAACAAGCCAAGTGCTAGGATGTTAAGTGCTCTTAACACAAGCCAAGTGCTAGGATGTTAAGTGCTCTTAACACAAGCCAAGTGCTAGGATGTTAAGTGCTCTTAACAAGCCAAGTGCTAGGATGTTCAGCGCTCTTAACACAAGCCAAGTGCTAGGATGTTCAGTGCTCTTAACACAAGCCAAGTGCTAGGATGTTAAGTGCTCTTAACAAGCCAAGTGCTAGGATGTTAAGTGCTCTTAACACAAGCCAAGTGCTAGGATGTTAAGTGCTCTTAACACAAGCCAAGTGCTAGGATGTTTAGTGCTCTTAACACAAGCCAAGTGCTAGGATGTTAAGTGCTCTTAACACAAGCCAAGTGCTAGGATGTTAAGTGCTCTTAACACAAGCTAAGTGCTAGGATATTAAGTGCTCTTAACAAGCCAAGTGCTAGGATGTTAAGTGCTCTTAACACAAGCCAAGTGCTAGGATGTTAAGTGCTCTTAACACAAGCCAAGTGCTAGGATGTTAAGTGCTCTTAACACAAGCCAAGTGCTAGGATGTTAAGTGCTCTTAACAAGCCAAGTGCTAGGATGTTCAGTGCTCTTAACACAAGCCAAGTGCTAGGATTGTTAAGTGCTGTGTTAACACAAGCCAAGTGCTAGGATGTTAAGTGCTCTTAACACAAGCAAGTGCTAGGATGTTAAGTGCTCTTACACAAGCCAAGTGCTAGGATGTTAAGTGCTCTTAACACAAGCCAAGTGCTAGGATGTTAAGTGCTCTTAACACAAGCCAAGTGCTAGGATGTTAAGTGCTCTTAACACAAGCCAAGTGCTAGGATGTTAAGTGCTCTTAACAAGCCAAGTGCTAGGATGTTCAGTGCTCTTAACACAAGCCAAGTGCTAGGATGTTAAGTGCTCTTAACACAAGCCAAGTGCTAGGATGTTAAGTGCTTTTAACACTTCTTACTTGTACACTGGATGACCTCTAAAACCATCCAGTTTTCTCTGATTCTTTTACAACCTTTCCGTCTTGATCCTAGGTATTGGAGCTGCCCCCCTTTCCTCGGATCAAGCCCCATTACCTCCCACTCATCAAGCGCTTTGACCCCTACACGTTTAGAGCTTCTCTATGAATATTATAAGGACAAAACCTTTACTCAGTGCTACTAATGAGAAGGCAAGTGGTCACGAAATACTCAAAAATTGCCCTTATATATATATTAAAATTAATATTCAAATGCCCAGATGTTTATTATGCACTAACGTAAAAAAATAACAATAATCTTGTGCACTGACATTCCCAAATAAATCTATATTTCTTAATTAATGCCTAGGCAAACATTAACCAGTATTGTATTTCAGTGTTATTCTACCAAGCGAACCAGAAATCCTAGTCGTATGTTCTTTATCTATCAGCAATATGTCAAAAAATAGTAGTCTTGAGAGTCTGTAAAAAAAAACATAGAAAGTAAACATCTTTCTCTGGATTCTTTCTAAAAAATTGAAAGCAAAAGGATCTTAGTATTTGTTTTTATCACTAAGATGGTACTGATGTCGTTGTTTGTATTGAGTGAATGAGTGAGGCTGGTGTTGTGATGCATAGCTACTGGACGGTGGGGAGGAGCGGACCAGGAGCTCTACCTCGTGAGGATGGAACCAGGTAGTAACATCTCGTGAGGATGGAACTATGTAGTAACATCTCGTGAGGATGGAACCAGGTAGTAACATCTCGTGAGGATGGAACTATGTAGTAACATCTCGTGAGGATGGAACTATGTAGTAACATCTCGTTAGGATGGAACCAGGTAGTAACATCTCGTGAGGATGGAACCAGGTAGTAACATCTCGTGAGGATGGAACCAGGTAGTAACATCTCGTGAGGATGGAACAGGTAGTAACATCTCGTGAGGATGGAACCAGGTAGTAACATCTCGTGAGGATGGAACCAGGTAGTAACATCTCGTGAGGATGGAACCAGGTAGTAACATCTCGTGAGGATGGAACCAGGTAGTAACATCTCGTGAGGATGGAACCAGGTAGTAACATCTCGTGAGGATGGAACTATGTAGTAACATCTCGTGAGGATGGAACCAGGTAGTAACATCTCGTGAGGATGGAACTATGTAGTAACATCTCGTGAGGATGGAACCAGGTAGTAACATCTCGTGAGGATGGAACCAGGTAGTAACATCTCGTGAGGATGGAACCAGGTAGTAACATCTCGTGAGGATGGAACCAGGTAGTAACATCTCTTGAGGATGGAACTATGTAGTAACATCTCGTGAGGATGGAACCAGGTAGTAACATCTCGTGAGGATGGAACTATGTAGTAACATCTCGTGAGGATGGAACCAGGTAGTAACATCTCTTGAGGATGGAACTATGTAGTAACATCTCGTGAGGATGGAACCAGGTAGTAACATCTCGTGAGGATGGAACTATGTAGTAACATCTCGTGAGGATGGAACCAGGTAGTAACATCTCGTGAGGATGGAACCAGGTAGTAACATCTCGTGAGGATGGAACCAGGTAGTAACATCTCGTGAGGATGGAACTATGTAGTAACATCTCGTGAGGATGGAACCAGGTAGTAACATCTCGTGAGGATGGAACCAGGTATCAACATCTCGTGAGGATGGAACCAGGTATCAACATCTCGTGAGGATGGAACCAGGTAGTAACATCTCGTGAGGATGGAACCAGGTAGTAACATCTTGTGAGGATGGAACCAGGTATCAACATCTCGTGAGGATGGAACCAGGTAGTAACATCTCGTGAGGATGGAACCAGGTAGTAACATCTCGTGAGGATGGAACCAGGTAGTAACATCTCGTGAGGATGGAACCAGGTAGTAACATCTTGTGAGGATGGAACCAGGTAGTAACATCTCGTGAGGATGGAACCAGGTAGTAACATCTCATGAGGATGGAACCAGGTAGTAACATCTCATGAGGATGGAACCAGGTAGTAACATCTCGTGAGGAAGGAACCAGGTAGTAACATCTCATGAGGATGGAACCAGGTAGTAACATCTCATGAGGATGGAACCAGGTAGTAACATCTCATGAGGATGGAACCAGGTAGTAACATCTCGTGAGGAAGGAACCAGGTAGTAACATCTCGTGAGGAAGGAACCAGGTAGTAACATCTCGTGAGGATGGAACCAGGTAGCAACATCTCGTGAGGATGGAACCAGGTAGTAACATCTCATGAGGAAGGAACCAGGTAGCAACATCTCGTGAGGATGGAACCAGGTAGTAACATCTCGTGAGGATGGAACCAGGTAGTAACATCTCGTGAGGATGGAACCAGGTAGTAACATCTCATGAGGAAGGAACCAGGTAGTAACATCTCGTGAGGATGGAACCAGGTAGTAACATCTCGTGAGGATGGAACCAGGTAGTAACATCTCATGAGGAAGGAACCAGGTAGTAACATCTCGTGAGGATGGAACCAGGTAGCAACATCTCGTGAGGATGGAACCAGGTAGTAACATCTCATGAGGAAGGAACCAGGTAGTAACATCTCGTGAGGATGGAACCAGGTAGTAACATCTCGTGAGGATGGAACCAGGTAGTAACATCTCATGAGGAAGGAACCAGGTAGTAACATCTCATGAGGAAGGAACCAGGTAGCAACATCTCGTGAGGATGGAACCAGGTAGTAACATCTCGTGAGGATGGAACCAGGTAGTAACATCTCGTGAGGAAGGAACCAGGTAGTAACATCTCGTGAGGATGGAACCAGGTAGCAACATTTCGTGAGGATGGAACCAGTTAGCAACATTTCGTGAGGAAGGAACCAGGTAGCAACATTTCAAGAGGATGGGACCAGGTAGCAACATCTCGTGAGGATGGAACCAGGTAGCAACATCTCGTGAGGATGGAACCAGGTAGCAACATCTCGTGAGGATGGAACCAGGTAGCAACATCTCGTGAGGATAAAACCAGGTAGCAACATCTCATGAGGAAGGAACCAGGTAGCAACATCTCGTGAGGATGGAACCAGGTAGCAACATCTCATGAGGAAGGAACCAGGTAGCAACATCTCATGAGGAAGGAACCAGGTAGCAACATCTCGTGAGGATAAAACCAGGTAGCAACATCTCGTGAGGATGGAACCATGTAGCAACATCTCGTGAGGATGGAACCAGGTAGCAACATCTCGTGAGGATGGAACCAGGTAGCAACATCTCGTGAGGAAGGAACCAGGTAGCATCATCTCGTGAGGATAGAACCAGGTATCAACATCTCGTGAGGAAGGAACCAAGTAGCAGCATCTCATGTGGATAGAACCAGGTAGCAACATCTCGTGAGGATGGAACCAGGTAGCAACATCTCATGTGGATAGAACCAGGTAGCAACATCTCGTGAGGATGGAACCAGGTAGCAACATCTCATGAGGAAGGGACCAGGTAGCAACATCTCGTGAGGATGGAACCAGGTAGCAACATCTCGTGAGGATAGAACCAGGTACCTCACCACAGCCTCACAATCAACCTCACTCATCCCGTGACTCAGTCTCGTCTAACTAGACTAAGTAATTACCGAAGAGTTCATATTTTTGCAAAATATCTGAGTACTGACTGGCTATATGCTAACAGTTACCACTTAAAACTCACTTTGGGCTCAGGATGAGGATGTGAAAAATTAATTAATTTTCGAACACTCCCTGTTTTTTTTTTTTTGACGGACATCAAAATAATTTAGAGTTAATTTAGGTGATTGCAGCCCTGAATGACCCTTACGGGGTTAGCTCTATCCGTGAATGTAATTCTGTTAATATTAATTAGGCGTTTGTAATTAACACATTAAAGGTGGTATAATCTTATCACACATCCTCAACAGCTATAACATCTATGTTAATATTAAAAATAAACAAGTGACACTAACATTTCGACTATTTGGTAAGGCAACAGTGTGCAACAATGTGTGTGAGAGCTCATGAGATGTTGGGCAGAGCTCACATAGACATCAAGAGCTCTCACTCACTGCCGCACACTGTAAGAATGAGCTCAAAGTTATGCAAGATTTATTGTAGTCGAGCCAAAATAAATTTGGGCTGGTTACGAATTAATGTTAATGTGACCAGCTTACGCACAATTATACACACAAACGTTTATACAATCAAGTCAAAACAGTTTATACAATACTCTTCTTCCTTCAAAGGAAGGGGAGAGAAGACGTGGATGCTGAAGGACTCTTGTGTCAGACATGCTTGCCTCCTCTTCCAAAGGAGCTCGGTTACCCCTGTGGATTTAACGCTTCCAAGTGAATATAATGTAACTCCTATAGTTATATAAGCCTTTATAAAAGTAACTTCATCATTAACACAGTCCAGCATCTTCCTAAGAGTATTGTATCAACCGTGACTGATATAATAACTAGACTAAGAAATTAGGAGGACTCCTGTAATGTAATAAATTCTGTACTACTGTAAAAACTTATGGGTAAGGGAGAGAGAGCTTGTACAAGACAGATGGTAGTTAAGGTTTTAAATAGATGAGTGTAAACTCGTGTACTTGCAATGTTAAGTGTACTTGTGTACCATTTCTGGTGTGCTGACCTCCTTTTCTACCCGACGTCAATATGGGTAAGTTTTTTTTTTTTTAACTCTGGGTAATTCTCCTTCTTATATATGTATGGTAGTGTGTGTCTATATATGTGTCTGGGTGTGCGTGAGTGTGTGTGTGTGTGTGTGGGTATGCTTGTGTGTGTGTGTGGTGAGTAACTGTCTTTATTCAGTGCTGGGTCTTAACATAGTATTTAAGTAGTTTGCACCTAGGTTTAGGGACCACTTCTCTGGGATAGGTGACACATTCCTCACAGGTGCTTGTCTGGTTAAAACCCAAACATCTTTCTCGGAGTTTAACACTTAAATTGATACATTTTTCTTGGCATAAACACGGGATATTTCCCCTACAGTCTAAATTTGCTGCCGATGTCACGGAATGAATTATGGTTTGTGGAGTGTGAAGAAAATACTTAAAATAGTTTTATTCGGCTTGTAATATGATGAAAAGGTCATGACTGCAGCAAGTTGATAATGGTAATGTAAAACTGATTACGTATCCTCGTAATATACAATATACTGGGTAACTTGTCCGGGGCTGTACATCATACACTGACTGCTGGGATGATGTCTGTGGCCTGGGGAAAACCTCTTAAGTTTATGTAGACACAGCTACACTTAAACACAATTATACATAATGTAAATTACTCATCAGCATAACCCCAAAAAAAGATCGAAGTGATTCAGTTGCATCTATATCTTCCTGAGTTTGGTTAACGTCATCCACCTGCTATCATTAACAATTTCTTCTTCCATTATTTTCCGGGAACTTTATTTTCTATATAATACCCACCCATATTTGGGCAACATATTTTTCTAAAGACCCAATGGAAGTAAGTCACTGACGTTTTTGGGTTATCCTGGCTAATTTACACTACGTATGATAATTGTACTTATGAGTACCTGTACCTAAATAAACTTATGCAAGTAACGAAACTAACGCAAGTCGTTAATAACGCATTAACAACGGGACACATTAATGAACAATTTTCCAACATCAATCAGAGTCTTCTGAAGGAGACTCGAACTTCTGTTCATAGCATCTTCAATACAGAAAATTTCAAACCATATTACAGATGGCTGAGGCCAGATATATAAGGTAGTAAGTAACAGGACAAGTGTTTCCTGACGCGGGTCTTAGTTATATGACCACAGCTGGAGCTTTTGGTCATCTGACCGAGACCTTCAACTGGCTTACCCCTCCACCCCTTTAAAAGTATGGTTATGAATATAACCCATTTTTTTTTATTTTAGTGAACCGGTGTCAGGATGAACAAGTGTGAAAAACAAATAGATCACCTTATCCTTTAAATATTATGTACATTTTTGTGTACATGACATGTTTATTTCTGCCTCATTGATGGGCGACTCGTGTCTGGCAGCGAGGGCGCACTGTTGGCCCTGAGAAAATTGCTATCCACATGTTGGCTGTGTATAGTGTACCAAGTGTTGAGCAATAAGAGTAGGTGTGCCAGGGAAAACATAATTGTGCAATAATCCTCACTTGTGCACAACAGATTTAGCGACACTGATACACTAACTATAAGTAAATAACTTATCAAAGCACAAGTCTTTAAAGACACACACTCTAACTCCTAGTTATGTTGTCTAATTTAAATAAAATATTACAGACTTTATTAAAAATTATTTAATTAAAAACACTACTTCTTATAGTCTATACAAAAAGAAAGCAATTATACTAATTTAGTGTATAAATTGGTAAAGAAAATCTTGTTACTTGCAGGAGCACTGTGTAGATGGTTACATTGTAGCTGCAACACTGGAGCATTTGAAGGAAGATCTGGTGTGTCCCAGCATCACCACAGGAGAGGTATGTATACCAGCATCACCACAGGAGAGGTATGTATACCAGCATCACCACAGGAGAAGTATGTATACCAGCATCACCACAGGAGAGGTATGTATACCAGCATCACCACAGGAGAGGTATGTATCCCAGCATCACCACAGGAGAGGTATGTATCCCAGCATCACCACAGGAGAGGTATGTATCCCAGCATCAACACAGGAGAGGCGTGTATCCCAGCATCACCACAGGAGAGAAGTGTATCCCAGCATCACCACAGGAGAGGAATGTATCCCAACCTCACAGGATAGCCGTGTATCCCAGCGTCACCACAGGAGATGAGTGTATCCCAGCATCACCACAGGAGAGGAAATATATCACATATCTCCACGTGAGAGGAAATATGATACATTATCGCCGTTAGGAAGGTTAAGTGAGGCAGCATCACCTCTGAAGAGGTAATTTCACTTGAATCTGTAAGTGATGAATTACTTTTAACATTGCGTGACACATAAATCTAAGTGAGAATGTGAGAGGAAGAGTCATTTGGGAACATTAATGACCACGGAACGTTTGCTGTCGTTAATGAGTTACAAGAAACATGATGTGGAGAAAAGCCACTTGAAACAGTACATAGCTTGGAGGAGTTGAATGTGGTAAGTGCCGTGCTGGACTTGCTTGGAGTGTTACTTGAGAAGTGTTAACTTAGTTACTGAGAGAAGCAGCGGAGGAGAGTCACTGGGAACTTGGCGAGGTTGGCTGTTAGCAAGTAGTAGGCTGGAACCCTGAAATACTGACACACAACATATTAATGTTATACTCATGGGGAATAGTAAGCTAGAACATTAAAATACCGAGACACATTAATGCTATACGAATAGGGAAACACTATAACAGTATGGAAATTTTAATTCTTAAGACTATAATATACCTGTTTATCCACCTCCTCCTCTTCTATTTACTTTTTATCCTTTTCCTTCTGTTTGTCTTCCTTCTGTTCTTTGTGTTCCTTCTCTTTACACTGAGGTTTCATACGGTCTTGGCTAGGTTTTTTGTCCGGCATGTGACTTCTGGCTGTGGAGGGAGTAGTGTAGTTGCTTTAATATCTTTATTATGCACACCATACCCATCCTGTGGGCGGTAGTCAAAAGATTACAGAGGTACATAATGTGTCCAGGGACTGGGCCCCAAAGTTTTGAGAGATGAGCAAGTTACAAAGGTAATGAACTCACAAGTTACAAAGGTAATTAACTCCAGGTAGATCTGGTGACAATTATGACAAGTTTCAAAGGTATTCACAGATTACAGAGGTACGTAATGGGTCCAGGGACTGGGCCCCAAAGTTTTGATAGCTGAACTAGGTACAAAGGTAATGAACTTACAGGTTACAAAGGTAATGAAGTAGTGTACAGATTAACGTTATACACACGTACACTCTCGCATACACACACTCATACACGAGTATATCGCTAAGCATATCACCAGAAATATACACACACGTCAGCCCTGAGCATATGCAAAATTAGCAAGCCTCAAGACAGAATTCAGAATATTTCAGGGCCTTATATTAGGAAATTCATCGAGTAAACAGCCCCAACATGGAGCCCCACAGCTGGACAAGTACCTGAAGAAATTAGAAAAACGTTCAGAGGTTTGTAACCAGGTTAACATTGTTCGAGAACTGTTTCACTTGTTGGTGGAGACCACCCACCTCACGCAGCTTCTTCGAGGTGTGGCCTGAAGCATGTACCCTAGCCCCCCCCCCTCCCTTCCCTCTTCCTCATTCCCTCCTCTCCCTTCCCTCTCCCTTCCCTCTCCCTCATTCTCTCCCCTCCCTTCCCTCTCTCTCATTCTCTCCCCTCCCTTCCCTCTTCCTCATTCCCTCCTCTCCCTTCCCTCTCCCTCATTCTCTCCCCTCCCTTCCCTCTCTCTCATTCTCTCCCCTCCCTTCCCTCTTCCTCATTCCCTCCTCTCCCTTCCCTCTCCCTCTCCCTCATTCTCTCCCCTCCCTTCCCTCTCTCTCATTCTCTCCCCTCCCTTCCCTCTTCCTCATTCCCTCCTCTCCCTTCCCTCTCCCTCATTCTCTCCCCTCCCTTCCCTCTCCCTCATTCCCTCCCCTCCCTCCATGGTCCCAGTCTTACTACGCACTTTGCATGCTTCTATTATCAAACATTCTTCTTTTCCTTCCGCATTCTACATTGGTTATCCACTTCATTCCTCCCTCCCTCCCTCTAGCCTTCCCTCTCCCACAATCAATACTGTTACAGACTCCAAATGAACACAAAAAATGAGTTTCTTGTTGGTAGAAAAACTGAGGGAGAGTGTGAAGGAGAGAGTGTGTGGAGAAGGTAGCGAGGGAGAGTGTGTGGAGAATGTAGCGAGGGAGAGTGTGTGGAGAAGGTAGCGAGGGAGAGTGTGTGGAGAAGGTAGCGAGGGAGAGTGTGTGGAGAAGGTAGCGAGGAGAGTGTGTGGAGAAGGTAGCGAGGGAGAGTGTGTGGAGAAGGTAGCGAGGGAGAGTGTGTGGAGAAGGTAGCGAGGGAGAGTGTGTGGAGAAGGTAGCGAGGGAGAGTGTGTGGAGAAGGTAGCGAGGGAGAGTGTGTGGAGAAGGTAGCGAGGGAGAGTGTGTGGAGAAGGTAGCGAGGGAGAGTGTGTGGAGAAGGTAGCGAGGGAGAGTGTGTGGAGAAGGTAGCGAGGGAGAGTGTGTGGAGAAGGTTGCAAGGGAGAGTGTGTGGAGAAGGTAGCGAGGGAGAGTGTGGAGGAGTGTGTGAAGAAGGAAGAGTGTGGGAGGGAGTGTGAAAATGTGAGTGTGTATGAGAGAAGATGAACAAGGAAGAGTAAGACAGGAATAGATCGATGCAAAGAGAGAGAGAGAGAGAGAGAGAGAGAGAGAGAGAGAGAGAGAGAGAGAGAGAGAGAGAGAGAGAGAGAGAGAGAGAGGAGCTTTCTTGGGAGAGTTACACAAACAGACAAACAACAGTGAGACAACAGAAGCAGGTGATAGAAGAGGAAGAAATGATGGGAAGCAGATGAAAAATGAGTGGAGGCAGACAGGCAGGCAGACACTCAGGCAAACAATCAGCCAGACAGGCAGACACTCAGGCAAACAGAGTCAGCCAGACAGGCAGACACTCAGGCAAACAGAGTCAGCCAGACAGGCAGACACTCAGGCAAACAATCAGCCAGACAGGCAGACACTCAGGCAAACAGAGTCAGCCAGACAGGCAGACAGCCAGGCAAATAGTCAGGCAGACAGGTTGGGGAAGGAAGGAGGTACACAAGGGAGAAGTATCATATATAATGATGGAAAGAGAGACCATTTTACCACAATCTTGGACCTTGAGGGAGGAGTCATCACCACCAGTGTTAGTTACTCCTTGGCACGGATAACACTGGCAGAGTTAACACTGATATTGTTAACACTGGCAAGGTTAACACTGACTTAGTTAACAATAAGACAGTTAACACTGACATAGTTAAAATGATACTAGAGTCTTCATTCAAATAACTATAAATTACCTTCATATTACGCTTCCTTCATATTACGTCTCATTCCCCAAGTGGTGTACGGTTACTTCAGAAACCTGGTAAATGATTTGCACTCTGACAGCATATCTGGTGTTTTCTATCTCAAGAACACCAATGTTAACATCAATCTTTTTAGAGACCCAGACTGAGAACAGGTCTCAGTGTAAGGCTCTTGATCCAAGAAACAGGACTTACCCCTCACCTTCCTTGGATCGAACTTGGTTGCCTCCCAATTCCCCAAGTGCTATATAGCTCGTACGAGACTCGCCAATTTGTGGTTGCAGGGGTTGAATCACGGCTCCTGGCCCCGCCACAGCGATGGGACAAGGGTGTCAGAAACTATTAACATGCAGGGGAAGATATGTTGATAATGGAATACCCTTCCCTGTTTTGAACCCTATGAGAAAGTCCCCTAGCGAGGCTTGAGGATGCCCTGGAACCCTATGACTGAGAGTCCCCTAGCGAGGCTTGAAGATGTCCTGGAACCCTATGACTGAGAGTCCCCTAGCGAGGCTTGAGGATTTCCTGGAACCCTATGACTGAGAGTCCCCTAGCGAGGCTTGAAGATGTCCTGGAACCCTATGACTGAGAGTCCCCTAGCGAGGCTTGAGGATGTCCTGGAACCCTATGACTGAGAGTCCCCTAGCGAGGCTTGAGGATGTCCTGGAACCCTATGACTGAGAGTCCCCTAGCGAGGCTTGAGGATGTCCTGGAACCCTATGACTGAGAGTCCCCTAGCGAGGCTTGAGGATGTCCTGGAACCCTATGACTGAGAGTCCCCTAGCGAGGCTTGAATATGTACTGGAACCCTATGACTGAGAGTCCCCTAGCGAGGCTTGAGGATGTCCTGGAACCCTATGACTGAGAGTCGAGAGTCCCCTAGCGAGGCTTGAGGATGTCCTGGAACCCTATGACTGAGAGTCCCCTAGCGAGGCTTGAAGATGTCCTGGAACCCTATGACTGAGAGTCCCCTAGCAAGGCTTGAGGATGTCCTGGAACCCTATGATTGAGAGTCCCCTAGCGAGGCTTGAGGATGTCCTGGAACTCTATAACTGAGAGTCCCCTAGCGAGGCTTGATGATGTCCTGGAACCCTATGACTGAGAGTCCCCTAGCGAGGCTTGAGGATGTCCTGGAACTCTATGGCTGAGAGTCCCCTAGCGAGGCTTGAGGATGCCCTGGAACCCTATGACTGAGAGTCCCCTAGCGAGGCTTGAGGACGTCCTGGAACCCTATGACTGAGAGTCCCCTAGCGAGGCTTGAGGATGTCTTGGAACCCTATGACTGAGAGTCCCCTAGCAAGGCTTGAGGATGTCCTGGAACCCTATGACTGAGAGTCCCCTAGCGAGCTGAGATGCCTGGAACCTATGATTGAGAGTCCCCTAGCGGGGCTTGAGGATGTCCTGGAACCCTATGACTGAGAGTCCCCTAGCGAGGCTTGAAGGTGTTCAGTCATGTTGGCGTAATGGTTATGTTGGTGTCCTGGTCATGTTGGTGTCCTGGTCATATTGGTGTCGTTCTCATGTTGGTGTCGTGGTCATGTTGGTGTTGTGGTCATGTTGGTGTCGTGGTCATGTTGGTATCCTGGTCATGTTGGTGTTGTGGTCATGTTGGTGCCCTGGTCATGTTGGTGTCCTGGTCATGTTGGTGTCCTCGTCATGTTGGTGTCGTGGTCATGTTGGTGTCGTGGTCATGTTGGTGTCGTGGTCATGTTGGTGTCGTGGTCATGTTGGTGTCCTGGTCATGATGGTGTCCTGGTCAAGTTGGTGTCCTGGTCATGTTGGTGTCGTGGTCATGTTGGTGTCCTGGTCATGTTGGTGTCCTGGTCATGTTGGTGTTGTGGTCATGTTGGTGTCGTGGTCATGTTGGTGTCCTGGTCATGTTGGCGCCCTGGTCATGTTGGTGTTGTGGTCATGTTGGTGTTGTGGTCATGTTGGTGTCCTGGTCATGTTGGCGCCCTGGTCATGTTGGTGTCGTGGTCATGTTGGCGCCCTGGTCATGTTGGTGTCGTGGTCATGTTGGCGTCCTGGTCATGTTGGCGCCCTGGTCATGTTGGTGTCGTGGTCATGTTGGCGTCCTGGTCATGTTGGTGTCCTGGTCATATTGGTGTCGTGGTCATGTTGGCGTCCTGGTCATGTTGGCGCCCTGGTCATGTTGGTGTCGTGGTCATGTTGGCGTCCTGGTCATGTTGGCGCCCTGGTCATGTTGGTGTCCTGGTCATGTTGGCGCCCTGGTCAGGCGTCATGTTGGCTGGTCAGTGTGCCTGGTCATGTTGGTGTCTGGCATGTTGCCCTGGTCATGTTGGTGTCCTGGTCATGTTGGTGTCCTGGTCATGTTGGCGTCCTGGTCATGTTGGTGTCCTGGTCATGTTGGTGTCGTCATGGGTCATGCATGTTGGCGTCCTGGTCATTGTTGGTGGGCCAGTTGTGTCTGTCATGTTGGTGTCCTGGTCATGTTGGTGTCCTGGTCATGTTGGTGTCCTGGTCATGTTGGTGTCGTGGTCATGTTGGTGTCCTGGTCATGTTGGTGTCCTGGTCATGTTGGTGTCCTG